CTAATTATACAAATTAAAAAATCCTTAAGAAATATCACTGAGTTATAGCAGCTTCACTTATAATTAATTAATTTTAAATTGAATGAAAATCATACGCGATGAAATTCATATCCTCAATTTTCAAACTATTGCGGCAAAACAGAAAAAGAAAGCTTGTTTTCTCTTGACTTGCACCTAGTCTTCATTAATTTTTGTGCAGTTGATTAGAGGTTAGGTTTAGGTATTTATTAATTTTAACTTTTCATGACATGAGCATAACAAAAATAAAAGGAAAAATAATAATAATTATTATAATAATATAGGTAAATTAGTGAGATTACGTTTGTAAAAATGTAAGAAACATATGAATTTTACATTGTTCTATGTATACTATAAAATCATGAAAGAAAAAAGGTGTATTAACAAATGCTGCTGTAATATTAAAGAATGAAAAAAAGAAAGGGTAAAGGACTTCTACACAAACGATAACCTACGGGTCTCACTTTCAGAATTTCTAAATTAGACCAAAGAATTAGGTTGGGTTACTCATTAATTATTGGATACAACATGTCACCTAATTCACTTCCATAAAAACAAAAGTGTACAAGACTGCGGAGTTGGTATTGAAGTTTAAAATTAAAACCAAACGAGGAAAGTGCAACTGGCTTCATCTTAAAAAACATAGCACAAACAAAAGTCCAAAGAATCTATATGTTATTGGCAAATATGACAAGATTTACACAAGCAACTACTTGTCAATAGCTAAAAATTAAACTATAAAACAACTTAAATTTTAGAAGAGGGGGACAACAAAGAAAAAATAAAAATAAAAATCAAGAGATCTAACCAAGCACTCAAGGTAGAATCATAAAGAAACAGCAATTCAAAGTCTTAGACTTTAGGAATTAGTCAAAGAAATCATCAGGTATCAACTACCCATATTTAATTTTTTTTTTACTCCACAAGTTACAGCTGAAAAGAGAAGTTAATAAAAACAACACTTTGAACTCCATCAAACGGCCCGATGGCCGCGTACCTTATTGAGGTAGGTGGATTGTTCATTAGGTTTGGAGATCAAATTTTTAGTTGTTAATATCTAATGATACTAACTTACTAACTATTGCTCTCATTAAAAAATAATAATAATAATAATAAATAATAAAGACAACACCTTAAATAAGGGAGGCAAGATTCAAGACCCATCCATGAGTGGTGGTGGCCTCTAAATCCTCCCATAAAACACGTTCTAACCAACCCAAACTTGCATTTAAATAATAGAAGTATTGACCAAATAGAGGAAAATCAATAAATCAAAGAAAGAAATTTTTTTTTAGTACAAATTATTATCTACTTCATACCTTGATTTCACAAGTAGAGATGTGCAAGAAAACTTAATTTACCTGTTTAAATCGAAAAAGAAAAGGGAAACAGAAAGGCAATAAGACAAATAAAAGCAAATAAA